GCGTTCGTCACTTCTGAGCGGCGCATGCGCAAGCTAGATTCAAGTGATTATTACGTTTTGAATATGGATATTTTTCTTACAAAAACGCATCGATTCGCTACAGGAGGCCTTTGTTCACCCCCCGGAGCCGTGTGAGACACTTTTTTTTATGGAAAGGTGCTTTTTATTTCACGTCTTTTGGACAGAAGCAATGCAACACCCGCTGAGTGCAACGATAGAGCTTGAAAGATCAAAGACAATTTTTTTTATAACTCCAACTGGATTCATCTGAAAGAAGAAAGTCATATACACCTAGGATGCATCGGTGGTGAGTAAAACGCAGCCTAAATTTCATTTTTGGGTGAACTAACCCTTTAATGCAAGGTGTAAATGAGGGTGAATGTGCATGATTAGGACACTCACTCTGTCTCCAGGCCGCAGTAATGGTTCATTCCTGGTGCTCAGTTTGTTCAGCAGTGTATAGGAAAGTTTTTGACTCCGTGTCCATAACTTCCCTATGGAAACGTATTTACAAAAACACACATTCAAACCTGCACTGTCTGTTCACGGAGAGACAGAGTTCATTCACTATTTCAAGTGAGTACATTAGCAATATAAGCAAATAAAACATGCCCTATATATATATATATATATATATATAAACACTCTCTCATGTAAATTGTTGCATTTAAATCAATAGGAAGTTCCACATCCGTACCATATGTTAGTGTGTAGACGGGTTTGCCGGCGTTGTCCAGTGCGGTGAGGCAAGGGCTCTTGGGTTGTGTGGTGCCCCAGCGCTGTAAAGAGGCCATTAATGATGGAGGCCAGTTAGTAACCACCCCCAGCGGCTCCCCATTCAGGGGTTTCATCTCACCCCCCTCAGGCTTGGGCTGGTTTGGATCTGGATGCTGCACTGTAGCAGACAGGAAATCATGTCAGAGACAAAAATATAGATCTGCTGCTGTGACTTTTTTTCTTCTTTAATAAAATATGAAAGTATTGCATACAACAAAGCTTATATTCACCAATACAAAGCTAGAAGAATGCAGATTATACATAAACGTTTACTTACCGTTTACTTACTGAGACATTTAGTCAGTGTAATTAAAAATCAATCATTTTCACCTATATGTAATTTATTATTGTATTGTGTGCTTATTGGCTTATTGAAATCACTAGCAGGTTGAGTCTTCTGCCTACATAGAGCATTCCAAGTCAGTCATTTATAAGGTTCCATGACCGATACTGCCTTACACTGTAAGCAGCTCACTAGTTTTTTGGAGTTTATGTGAGAGTGATTTTAAATGCCACTAAGCATCTCAGGGTGACTTATGGGTGCTGAGGATGAGATGTGAGACAGCTTTAAATAGATTTGATTGATTTTGTGTGTCTGGAACAGAAAGAGAAAGAAAAACAGAAAGAGAGACAGCATATAAAGTGAAGATGCTGCTGCTAAGACAATGTGAAAGAGTATTTCTCAGCATATTTTTAAGAAGTGCAAGAAAGGATTGACTGAACAAAGAGAGAGAAAAAGGGAAGAAGAGATTAATTCAGAGGATTTCTCAAACATTTTAATAACTAATCACTGTACTAGACTGTGTATATAATAATAACAATAATAAAATAACAGTTTATCTCCATAATTCAGGAACACAGAAAAGGCTGAATAAAACAGAGAAACAGGAGCAGGTCACTCTACACTCTCAGTAAACAGTTCCACTTTCTCATTATGTATGAAATATGTATGTGACAAATAAAGAACCTTGAACAAAAGGGTTTTTTTTATGTGCTACCATTCAAAGTTTGGGGTCAGCAAGATTTTTTTTTTAAGTTTTTGATAGAAGTCTCTTCTGCTCACCAAGGCTGCAACCGATCAAAATGACAGTAAAAACAGTAATATTGTGAAAATATTATTATGATTCAATGACTGTTTTTTTATTTTAATATATTTTGAAATGTATTAATGTGATGCAAAGCTGAATTTTCAGAATCATTACTCCAGTATTCAGTGTCACATGATCTTTCAGAAATCCTAATATGCTGATTTATATACATCAGTACGGAGAAGAATCAAAACAGTTTGACTAAACCTGCCAGATAATAAAACAGTCACTGTTAGTGCTAAACAAGAAAACCACAAAGCATTTCCAGATGAATTCAACCCCTCACAGTGGCAGACCACACATCAGGCAGACATAACCCATATCCTTAACATGGCTGTATTATTCAAATATGTTGTTTTGTGTTATTTTCCTGTCTCTGGGTCAGTAGCTTCTTCTTAAAAGCAGTTTTTGAGTAAATGGCAAAAGGTTATGAGTAAGGATATCAGAGACACCTATTCAATCTAAGTGTAAATGCCAATTCACGTTCATATTTTCATAGAACCCTTTTGTGAGATGAAAGTAAATATATATGGCAATGGAGGGCTTGACCGTAAGATATGACTTGAGTTCTAAAGTCCCTCCAGAATACTAAAACAGATTTTCACATTCTCTGTTTATTTGTTTAAGGTGGCTCCTAGGTGGTTTCATTACTGACCCAAGTCAAAAGAGCTCAATTTCAAGTCTCGACAATACTTTGTCTTCAGCATTCTCTCTTCAAAAAGCCACATAATTTCAATTTCTCTAGTAATATCACTGAAGATTTGACAAATAAAGATAATTCAGTCATGACAATTCTCGTAATAATTTCAGCATGTTAATCGATATGACTATGTTAATGTAATCTGTCTTGTTCACTAGATCTGCTACGCTGCCGCAGAGCAAATATGGAGACTTGCTACTGCCAATTAGATACACAGACACACTGCTGTGAGCATGTAAGATATGCTGCTGCTGCTGCATGAATAGGCATCATAAAATCCCATAGCAGATCTAGGTTGCATTCCACTTCGCCTATTTATGCCCTTCACTTGCTAACTTGCCTCCGTCTTGTTGACTTGAATGCACATCATTGCTTATGTTGCATGAGTGCCCACTACTGGCGGAACCATTGCAATGGGTTGAACTGAAATGTCCTAAGCCCTTGATCACTTGGAATCTGCTATGGTGCTAAGACATTTACATTTTTTCTTTATGAATTTGTTTGATGTGCCATTCTATATGCCTATTGGTATGCTTGGGCTCTTGGAGAAAATAAAATTACACAAACGGATAAAATATCAATACAATAAACTACCGTGTACGTCACAATCATGTTGCATTGAGGTATATGGAGCTGCCTGAAGTGTACATATGAAAAGACTTGCTCCCTTGGTAAAAAATCGATGGGTCGAGGGTATGTCCATATAAACTTCCCTCGGCCACTTGACGAAGTGGAACGCATATCAAAATGGCGGTGGGGATTCCCCCAATGGAAAGTCTTTAGGGAAGTTTGTGAGTTTGTGTCTAAAAGTGAAGTGGAATGCACCCTAGACAGGTGGAGCTGGGGGAGGTAGAGGGTTTCAGAGGAACGCACGGCAGGACCAGCTTACAGCGAACACTGAACCAGACTATTTAAATGTTGAGCAAGCAAGCAAGCTCATTAGTTGAACAGAGACTAATCAGCATTTAGTAAATTATGTGAATGATAGCAAATTGCATGTACAAGGCCTATAAGCTTGCGCCATCTAAAGTTTCATGACTGAATTAGATATTTCTAGATGTATGAACCTACCATCCAAAAGTTCCTCGAAGTCATCAACAAAAAATTCTTGTAAAGGGGGTCTCTTTGGCCTTTTCAAAGTGTTTAGGAGCTGCTGAATCTTAGAGGACACTCGACTGTTGACTGGAACGCCTTTAGACAGAGATAGTGTCAGGAGAAGATGGGACAGAGAGAGAGAGAGAGAGAGAGATGGCGAGGATGAGATAAAAAAGCAGGGAAAGGTCATTGTGAAAGGATGGTGGGGACAGTTTCACACAACAGCCTGTCAGTCAATGTAAGGCTGTATGCCCATGGGGTTGGTTGAGATGGTACTGAGCATGCTGAGTAGAGACACCTGACCCAGAGCATCAAATACTCCTTGACTCTGATTGAAGCAGCTGGACTCATGCTGCCTAGCAACAAGCCGCTACCCAGCTACCCATCTCATCAACCATTCATGAGCTTTCTTCTGAAAGAGTCCATCTGATCATTCGCTATATGCTTTACAGAAGGCTTTAGGATTACAGTTTAAATAGATTCACATAAAACACTGGGACAAAAGATGCAATGAACAAGTTAATACATGTTAAACAATCTCACAGTATAACATGAGAACCAGGGTCATTCTACGAAGTGTTAATTTTTAATAAAAATTAAATATTTTATTATGAAAAAAGTAAAAATAAAAATTAATTATAAGTCATAAAATTTATGGAGATTTAAGTAAAAAATCTATTAAAATTTGGGCCAAATGCCAAAGAATGTATTAAAGTTAAAATTCAATTTCTTTCATTACAGAATTAATTAATAATTACAGTTCTCTATGTATCATGTGGAAAATTTGTGTCCGAAATTCATTTACTGTGCCTGTGTAAAATGGTAAATGCTGATTGCATGGTTATTTTCTGCAATTTTCCATTGCAGTGTAAATTGTTCCTTCATAAATATCCTGCATCATTATGAATTGTACCAAAATAATCAAATTGAATTTCAAATAACATGATGCATCACATTTATCAAAGAAATGCATTCAAATTAAATCACTATTAGAGGAAATATTTACACTCTTAGTTACCACAGAAACACCTCAAAATTACCCATGTGTAAGGCTAAAAAACAAAAAAACTAAAGAAAAAACAAGCTCTGAATATATTTTGTTAAATTTAACAAAAAATTCTAGGTCTTGAGGAACAAATATTAGCTGGTTTATAACAATTAATATAGAATAAACCCATCAAATGTTTATATTGAGGTAAACATAGGCTTTCACATGATAGTTAGGAGAGAATAGAACCAAACATCAAGAAACAAAAATCATCTTCACATGATGAATCTATTTTTTCACTTCTCTGTTAAATGTCTGGCTGTTAATTCCACAGAGAGATGGCTGTGTCATGTATATATGCATGACTGAGATGCTTTCTGACATTCCATTGTCATGAGACACCTGAGCCTCAGCCGCTGTCTGTCTGCCCCTCGTCTCTGTCTGCATCTCTCACACACTCACAGACCGTGCTCAAGTACCCAGAATTCACTGCAGAACCCGATGAAGCCAATTACTGTAACAGCTCCCCAAACACACAAGAATGAATCCTCTCATGTGAGGATAAACACAACATAACTACTGTTATCCTGCCTCATAAATGTCCATAAGCCATATTAACCTTATTAAACAAAATAATCACACATTAACACTACCATGATACTGTGGCTACTATGCAACACTTTTCAACCATGCTTGTATTCGGCAACAAAACAATATCAAAATGTACTACCTTTGCACATGGTGCCATTATAATACCATGTTTTGTTTAACATCTACCATTGTAGCACTACGGTATTCTTTGAAGTACCATGTAAGTACCAATGTATTGTAAGGTTATCAATCTGTAGGCCTGCAATGATATACAGTATATATCATAGTACCATGGTATTACAATGCTATTTCATGGCCATAAGAAATTACATTTAACTAAATATTTTACTAAAAGTAAAAGTAAATTTAACTAAATGTTTTACTAAAACTCTATTTTGTAGAGTACAAATCATATAAAAAAGTGACATTTGATCTGAAACGCTGGCAAAAATCACAGAGCATACCTAAATGTCAAAAGCAAAAACCATTTGTCTAATTATCTCATCACACATTTACTTAAATACAAGCTCTCCCGTGTGAAAAAGAAGTGCACTTAATTGTAGAGAATGTTCACTTTTAGTCCAAATTATATATATATTTAAAATACTGTACTTGCAAATAATATAAGATAATGAAAAAAAGTAACTTAAATATATTAAGTTTGAATGTGATATTTAATATTGAACACACTACAGTTAAAATTATAATCAAGTACTTTACATGTGCTTTAGTATGCAAGTCACAACATCAAAATAAGTGTACTTTATAGCATGACAAAAGATGATTTAAATTTACTTTAAAACTTTTAATTTGACATTATTACAAAGTGCACTTTTTAAAAGAGTACTTAAGTGTAATGTGAGTATGTTTCTTAACACACTTAAGTACTCTTTTAAAAAGTGCACTTTGTAATAATGTCAAATTAAAAGTTTTAAAGTAAATTTACATCATCTTTTGTCATGCTATAAAGTACACTTATTTTGATGTTGTGACTTGCATACTAAAGCACATGTAAAGTACTTGATTATAATTTTAACTGTAGTGTGTTCAGTATTAAATATCACATTCAAACTTAATATATTTTAAAAGTACTAAATTGTAACTTCATCATAATGTGTATTTATGAATATATTTATATACATGACTACAAGTTTCAATAGAAATGACAAAGTATTTTTAGTGTACAATAAATGCTTGTCACATGTGCTTAAGTTATACTGTGCATTTAATATACATTTAAACTATAATATTTTTAATTTTATTGAAATTAACATGCAATTAAGTGTGCGAAAACATTACATTCATTTCACACTGAAGTATGTTCTTTGAATTTCCGTAATAAGTACTCTTTAAAAGTATGCAAAAGTGTACTTTCTTTTTCACATAAGATGGATCAACACAAACACACCTAAAACATTCTCAGTCCTACTATTTCTAGACAATAGTGTTGTATCTTCCCATAATGCAGAACCTATTACAAATGCTGTGAAAAGACCTTGAAAGAATAATTAAACAACATTAAAAAGACAAAAAGAGACACATTAGGAGGAAATATTTTTCTTATGATCGTAATTTCAAAAAATGACGTAGTGGACAAGTTAAGCAGACGGCGTTTAACACAGAGGTCACAGCTGAGACACAGAGGCACGGAGACACCAGGAGGAGGGGCAGATTGAAATAAACGTGTATAAATACCATCCGTGGCCTCCCTATCTCCCCTGTCAGTGCCTAAAGAAGAGAAAATGTGAATAAACACACATGTTCATGACAGCATGCTGCTTCTACAGAGCTGAGGTGACTCTAATTGAGCATGACTGACATAATATTTCTGTATGGAAAAAAAAAAAAAATCAGATCAGTTTTGATGCTTTTTTTTTGTTGTTGTTTAACCATTACCAAATATTTGTCATTCCAAGAACTAATACACCACAGCAAAGAAAGCAGGTTAATCTTGAACCTGATGTTATGTACAGATGTGATGTTCAGTTCTATGTCTTAAAGGGACAGTACACCTAAAAATTAAAACTGATGAGTCATCATCTACATGGCCTAACGTCACTCAAAAAGAAGTATATGATTTTTTCCCCCACAGTTGAACATAAAAGGACATGATTTCCAGGGTATTTTATCCTGCAGTGAAAGTGTGACTCAGGTGACTCTAAAAAAACAGTTCATACATCTCACACAGCATATTTTAAGCCTGATAAAACCAAATGATAGCTTCATGTCAGAAAAAAAGACAAAGTTAAGTAATTTTTAATCTAAATCTTACCTTTCATCCTAAGTCTCAATTCACAATTGCGCTTCCACACATTCAAACCTGGCGTGTTCACAATACATGCAAGAACCGCTAGTCAGTTTTGCTAATCCGCTTGAGGAAAAATTCATGACACTATTGAAGAAAAAGAAGTTGGTGGAAAGGAAACTGCAAACAAACGTCTTTGGTTCTCAAGTGTATTATCAACACACACTAGGTTTGAATGTGTTTAAAAATGAGATTTTATTTTGCAGTGACATGCAGGTGAGTACATGATGACAGAATTTTCCTTTTTTTGTGAACTATTCCTGCAAAAAAGAGCATGCTGATGGCATGATACTATCTGGCTTGAACAAGCAGGAGCATACAAAAAACAGCCAAAAAATATCCCACTCTTTTTTATTTATTTAGCTTTTTTTTTTTCAATAGATATGAACTGTAAATCCATCTCATTAGCTCTGATCCAAAGCCTCCAGATTTAGAGGATCCAGAAAGATCCAGAAAGTTGGATAAGTCAACTTTATATTTATGTGTGCTAAGTATTTTTCGCTTCGCAACATTATCATTAGTTGTTAGACTGTATTCGTATCAATTGTGAGATGAGTCTCAATCCCTTATGAGGTTCCGTGGCAGTCAGCATGCTCCCTAAGTAGGCAGTAGAATGCAAGGCAGCTTACTAAGTTTTGGAGCAGAGCTAAAAACACAGTGTTTAGTGTGAAAAAGTTTCTAAAAACACAAATCAGTCCGTTTGAACCTCTGGGTGCAGTAGTGTTGAGAGTTCTGTGGAGAGATGACATGATATTCCCTCTTTCTTACAGGAAAGAGGCGTGTGTGACAGGAAGTTGCTCTGCTGTCGTCACGACAGCAGGCTGAAGCTTTAGGGAACTCACCATCGGCGGTCTCCATGACGCTGGTGTGTGTGTATCTGCGTGGAAGCCCTCGCACTGATGCCACCTGTGGACGCTCTGCATGCACCGAGCGCTCCGACAGGCCTGTCACATCCGGAGGTGCACTGTGGTTGTCTGTCATGAGGTGCCAAAGGTCAAAGGTGAGTGGAGGTCAAAGTACAATAATGCATGGTGGACTGTTCTGTGATCAAACCCATGATAAATTATGATATTGATTATATATTTAAGAAGCTGTGCGGGATTTGCCAGCCATAAAATCTCATTGGTCCAAAATTCCACTCTATATAGCTCTACATGAACATATTCTGCTTACATAAAACATGGAATTAAACATCAAATATGTTCTGATTAGCTACGTTTTTTTTTTATGCTTTACACTGTGCAATGTTGAGTTAAGCCAGTTTGCAACACTTTCTGTCATCTCTCTTCCTAATTCCATGTGATGTTTACTGTCCATCATATTCTAAACGCCCAAAAGAAGAGCTTTATAGTCTTTAATATATAAGTGATTTCCACACTAATAACCAACAAGCAGCTGTTTTGCATTTAATCTTCCTTTGTACAGCTGGGTTTGTCTGGCAGGCTGCTTTAGAACAGTGGACCCACAGAGCGGCTCTGACACTGTGTGAAATCTAAAGTTATTTACAGTCAGCGCCCAGGGCCAGCTTGATGATAGTGGCCTTCAAGGGCAGAAAAGCAGAAAAAGAGGGTGAAAGAAAGAGGAGGAGACGAGAAAAAAGGAGAGATAACGGGAATGCAAATGTTTATAAGCAGAACTCTGTGAAGAGCAGAGCAGTAAAGTGAATGTGTTCTGGAGTTATTTTGTTACTCACTCTCATGCCATTCAAAATTTATATGACCAAAATAAGACTTTATTCTGTTCCTGTTCATACATTAAAAGCAAACAGCAACTAGAGGCTGTCAAGACCAAGACCAAGACCGACCAAAAAAGCACCATAAAAGTAGTCAATCAATGCAATCTTGAAAGTTTGAGGTTGAGACCAGTCTGTTCCTCACACAAAACAACTGTATGATTTCTGAAGACTTTTAAAACTGAAAAATGTAAAATTTTCATTAAAAAAATTAAAAAATACGACCATAAAAAATATGACAGCAACAGTTAACATTTAAGGTAAAAAAAAGGTATATTCATTAACTGAAATAATGTTAATACACCAAATCACTAAAATCTTTTTTTTTTTATTTACCTGGCAACCACCTTACAAACACAAGTGGTGAAGAGAAAGTCACATCATGACTTTCTGGGAATGTCAGACTCAGTTTATGGTTCTTTTCCACTTCCAAAAACGGTACATTTATCAGTATTTTACTGTAAAATTAAATTAAATGTTCCAGTAGTTTTTCACTGTATAGATGTTCCACTTGGAACAGGAACGTTGCAGAAGCCCCATCCTTCCCAAAAGAGGTTTCGGAAGCACTTACACATATGCCATCCGTTTAGGTGCATAAGGAAGATTAGAGGTGATTGTAACCTTCATGGAAATGGCAGAAGTCTGCCAGGGAAACACGGGCTCTAAGGCTATACCGTGGACTTTACACATATGGGAACCACTTAGGCCTCTACATATGGAACCCAGCCCTCTACCGATTTTCACGGATTCAGCGAGTGAGGGCCTGGCGCCAGACGCTCCGCCACGTCTGGCTGCCGAGGGGACGGAGGAGCTCGACAGGGCCTACAGTATGGATACTCTGGAGCAGTTTTAGCAAGCCGACACTAA